GTTTATCCTATTAACAGAACATTGTGGTGACAGCATTTTTATAAGCCCCAGCTGAGACAAGGGCAGGAAAGGAGAAAAAAATAAGAGAGAGAGAGAGAGAATAAGAATTAGAGTCAGTGGCCAATTATAGAGTCCATTCAGCTTGTGATTTTTCTCTATATGAGATAAAATGCTACTGATCCAGCAAAATTTATTCTCTCATGCATGTTTAGAAATAATGAATGTAAAGCTAAGGCAAAGGATAACATGCAACCAAAATTCTTTTTCATAGCTTTCCAGAACTCTGGGAAAATGATTTTTGAAAACTGTGAAATGGCCTCCTGCCATTTTGAAGCAGGGAACGTTGCCTTAAGGAACATGTGAAATTGTTGGGGAAGAAAATCCCAAAATTCCTCTCGAACCCAGAAAACCAACAGAGAATCACCTGACCTTTCTTTCATGTTGATGTGATTGCACCTCCTATGTGGTCTCACCTGCACCCCCAGACCCTGTGCATGAAAAGGTTGTTCACTCTGAAACCCTCCAAGCGTGAAAGCAGTTCTCACCTGGTGTAGTCACAACTGCTGCCATGGGAAAGCCGTTACCAATTCCTTTGGCCATGGTAACTATGTCTGGAATGACACCGTGGCCTTGAAATCCCCAGAAATGACTGCCTGTTCGACCAAATCCAGTCTGAACCTTCACAGGGAACAAAGAAAAGGTGCTTTTAAAAGATTTAGAGCATGGCTGGCTAGGGGATTGTGGGAGTGGAAGTCCACAGATCTTAAAAGTTGCCAAGGTTGGACACCCTGCTATAGAGTTGCTCTTTATAAATAGCATCTATATTTTAAGGCAATTGTTTTCTGATAGGAAATTGCCTATATTTGCTGTCAGGCAGGGGTGGCCTTCAAAAATTTTAGCAAAGGGTTCTCTGCACGGTTCTTGGGTGGGCGTGGCCATGGTGGGTGTGGCCTAGTCAGCCTCCTGCACCACAGCGGGGGAGGAGGCGTTTTCACCCTCCCTGGGCTCCGGAGGCTTTCCTTGAGTCTCCTGGAGGATGAAAACAGCCACTCTGGGCTCCAGAGGCTTTCTGGAAGCTGGAAATGGGAACCATTTCTGGCATTCTCGAACTTCTAGCCTCCGTGCATGCCCTATACCAGTGGTGGCTAACCTTTTTAGGCTCTTGTGCCAAAAACTGTGCACGTGCTTGCACTCTTGCGCTCATGTGCCAGCATCCAGAAGGCAATGCGCGCCTCCCCCCATGTCCCCTACGCATGCAATCTCCCCCACCCACCTACCCCCCTTACATGCACTGCACCACACAGCTGATTTTTGGCTGGTTTGAGGCCTTTTTCGGCCTCCCAAAGGCTTGAGGAAGGCTTCTGCAGGCTTCTACAAGCTTTGTAGGCCGAAATCTAGCCCTGTTTCGTCACTTCCCGTTTTTCCTAAAATACCAGAAGTGACTAAACGGGTCTAGATTTTGGCCTACAAAGTTTGTAGAAGCCTGCAGAAGCCTTCCTCAAGCCTTTGGGAGGTCGAAAATCAGCTGTGAGGCGTGCACATGCACAGTAAGGTAAGTTTGCCTGCAGCTCGTGTGCTGGCACATCACGGCCCTATACTTACCTGCATCCAAAATGGGTCGTGTGGGTCAGGAATGGGATTTGGGGGTTCTCCAAACTGCACAGAACCTTAGCTAGGGGCTCTCCCAAACCCCTAGCAGCCCCTCCCCTGCTGTCAGGTTTGATAGAGATTCTCAATCGTCCAGGTCATGGTTATTATTATTATTTTTCCAAAGGCAACTTGGTTTTTTTTTTCTTTGAAAATGTTTCACTTCTCATTGAAGAAGATTTTTCTTCTGAAGAAGTTCTGAAGATGATTTTTGGAAGTGAAACGAAATCTTTTCAAAGAAAAAAAAAAACCCCAAGAAAGTCCAGTTGCCTTTTGAAAAAAGCACCTTTCAGATATACTGTCAGATATACTACGTGCAGGCCAGTATTTCATCAGCGGTTCTTACACAGAAGTGACTTCCAAACAGAAATCTGTGTATGGTAAAGTCCTTGGAGAAAGCACCACCCACTTCTCTCCCAAGTTCGGGATTCAGTTTAAATTTTGTTCTGTGTTTGTCCTGTTTGTTCTGTGTTTGTTTTCCTTTCTAGAAGACACACCAACTGCCTTGCTTGTAGGAGGCAGAGATGGTATTCAGTCAGTTGTGACAGGTTCTGGAGAACCAGTAGCGGAAATTTTGAGTAGTTCGGAGAACCAGCAAATACCCTGATTGGCCCTGCCCCCAGCTATTCTGTCTCCTGAGTCCCAGCTGATTGGCTGGGTCTTCTTTTGCTGCCCTGCACAGGAGAATGGAGCTGGAAAGCAGGTTGGTGGGGTGAGGAGAAAATGGCATTTTGCAGTAATCTTCCCCCAGGAGTAGGGAGGGAATGGAGATTTTACAGTATCCTTCCCCTGCCATGCACACCAAGCCACACCCACAAAACCGGTAGTAAACATTTTTGAATCCCACCACTGGTAGAAGGGGGTAGTTCCCTCAGGCCAACTTGTTTTGCAAAGTCCTCTTCAAATGCTTTGTAGGGTCCCAATCCAAGCCCTCAGCCAACAGTATCTCAAATAGCGGTCCTTGTAAGAAACTCTGCGCGTATAATTTGGAGAAGGGAGTCACATTCAGATATTCACCTCGTCTGCAATGCAGAGGCCTCCCCTTTCACGCACCAACTGATAAGCCTCCTTTAGGAATCCTTTGGGAAACTGAATTGCTCCATTTATGCCCTGGAGAAAGCAGACAGACAGGATCAAAGGAAATGGTGACCTTCCTTTCACGGAAGAAAATTCCACAGAATCATAGCGCTGGAACAGATCTCGGAGGTTTTTCTGGCCCAACTCCTTGCTCCAGACAGGAGTCTCGTTACACCCCAGTCAAATGGTCATCCGGTCTATTTTTGAAAACCTCCAGTGATGGAGCACCCATAACTCAAGGCAGCCTATTCCATTGATTAATTGCTTCTCACTGTCCAAACAATTTATCCTTACTTCTGTGTTAGATCTCTTTTTGACAAGCTTCCATGCATTATTTCTTGTCCTGAGTTTTGATGCCTTAGACCAGAGGTGTCAAATTCCATTTCATTCAGGGCCACATCAAGGTTTTATTTATTTTATTTATTTTATTTGTCAAGAGATTATAAGATAACAGGTATAAGTATAAACATAGTTAGAATACATGAAATGGATACATATAAGAAAAATAAAAAGAAACAATAGGACAGGGACGGTAGGCACGTTGGTGCACTTATGCACACCCCCTACAGACCTCTTAGGAAAGGGGAAAGGTCAATAGTAGACAGTCTAAGGTTAAAGTTTTTGGGGTTTGGGGAAAAAAACCACAGAGTCAGGTAGAGTATTCCAGACAGAGGTGGTATTCAGCAGGTTCTGACCAGTTCTGGAGAACCGATAATGGAAATTTTGAGTAGTTCAGAGAACCGGTGGTAACCTTCCCCCTGCAGTGGGGAGGAAATGAAGACTTTATAGTATCCTTCCCCTGCCATGCCCACCAAGCCATGTCCACTAAGCCATGCCAAGCCCACCAGGACACGCCCACAGAACCCGTAGTAAAAAAATTTGAATCCACCACTGATTCCAGACATTGACCACTCTGTTGCTGAAGTCGTATTTCCTTCAAGCCAGCTCGACATTACTCGTGTTGGGTGTGCCTGTGGTGGCCCAAGCACTCTGCCAGCAATAACGGGCTCCCGAGCTCTGTTTTCACCTATGATGGCCTCCTGCAACCCTCTGCCAGCAAAAATGGAGCTCAGGAGGACCTCCCATGGCCCTCCCACGTTCTGTTTTTGCTGGTAGAGGCTCTGTGGGCCAGTCCTTTGCTGTTTCCAGGGTAGCCCCATGGGCCAGGTCTAAGCAGGCCTTCAGTTTGACACCCCTGCCCTAGACAATAAGTCAATCCTCTCTCGACAGCCCCCCAAGTACTGGAAGACAGCTATCTGCCTCAAGTGTTCATCATACAATTAAAACCTCCAGGCCCATTATCATCCTTTTGCTCTTCTCTGCACGCTTTCCAAGTTCTCATTGTCTTTTTTATATCATGATGACCAGAATTGGATGCAGTATTGCAATTGTGGTTTCACTAGTATCTGGGATCATGAGGTCACCTTTTACACCTTATGTAATATATATTATGTAATATCAAAACTCAATGTAAGATACAAACTCAATGTAAACCACTCCAAACTTGACTGTAGAAAGTACGACTTCAGCAACAGAGTGGTCAGTGCCTGGAATGCACTATCTGACTCTGTTGTTACATCCTCAAATCCCCACTCTTTAACCTCAAACTATCCACTATTGACCTCACCCCATTCCTAAGAGGTCTGTAAGGGGCGTGCATAAGTGCACAATTGTTCTCCCTTTCCTATTGTCCCCATTTATTCGTACCTATTTCCTGTATTCTTACTCATGTTTATACTTTTACCTATTATCTTGTAAGCGATTGACAAATCAAATCAAATCAATCAATAAATAATTGCTGTAGTCCTAGTGATGCACTTCAATCCACACAACCAGGAGATGGCACTGTTGAATTTATTTCCCTTTTATCCCATTACCTGTTTTACCTTTTCTTTGCTACCGGTAGTAAGGAGCCCTACTTCTTTCACATGCTGGAATTACAATACCTGGTGAAGTGATACCCGTGGAAGATATGTGGTGGCAGCGGTGGAGGGCTCAGCCATACCGCACATTACATTCATCATGTAAAATTACATGATGGCCCTCTGGGCCTAAACAAAAGGAGTCCATTAATAGGAGGAGGAGATCTCAACCCAGGATGAACAGATCATCTGAAGGGTCTTGGGTGCTCTCTGAGCGTGCTTCTTTTTTTGCAGATGTCTCATTACCCAAACTAGGTAACATCATCAGTGCTAGTCCCGCTGATGTTACCTAGTTTGGGAAATGAAATGTCTGCAAGAAAATAAGCAAGCTCAGAGCGCACAAAAGAACCCCTCTGTTCAACCTTGAGCTACAAATATTCTCCTTTATTAGTGGATTATCTGGATAGGAGAACGGCCAGCTGGTCTTTGCATGTGTGGGAGTGCTGGAAACTGGAAGAGCAGCTCCCCGGCATGCATGTGCGCATCGGGGATGCTGAGCTTCCGGTTTCCGGTGCGTGAATGCACACGGGCCAGCTGGTCTTTGTGCGCGCATGTGTACCAGAAACTGGAAGACCAGGTGACTGCCACACATGTGTGTGCTGGAAACTGGAAGCTCAGTTTCCTGAGGTGTGTGCATGCGTGCAAGGGAACTGCTGTTCCAGTTTCTGGCGCTCCGCCACGCTCATGCTCCCATTTTGGTACTCAATGCCGAAAAGGTTCACCAACACTAGTTCATCCAAGATTTTTGCAACGTAGTTTGTACCAGTACATGGGAGAATTAAAAGTCCTCAGTTTAAATCATGAAAGGAAAGCCCTTCTAATCTCCTGCAGATCAAAGGAAAGAATTAAGATGTCCAAAAAATCAGGACTCGGCACCAACCACCAGAGAGATCCAACCAACCAACCAACCAACCAACCAACCAACCAACCACAGGGATTTGAAATATCTGATGTCTTGCTGGTTTCTGCAATTTTTGATTAAACTGGTTGATGATCCCACTGACATTCTTTCTTTCTTTCTTTTTTTGGTTGTGCCTCCTCTTCCTCATCGATTTTGTCTTAATTAAAATGAAATCACAGCTTCATATACTGTAACTATTTTCTTGAACTAAAGTAATAATAAGCAAATCTTCTAGGTGATGCTGTGAGAATCTATTTCTCAAATGAAAACAAAGCATATTTTATAGTGTGATTCCATGCATTCCTAATGCCATCAAGGAGGCTGACTCCCTGGTTACATGTATATAGGATAGCAACTATAATCCTAAATATATCTACAGAAGCAACATGTTTAAGATGACATTATGTTTTATAATGAGGAAGATCTTATTTTAGGAATCAAACATAAAGGTCGTTTCCCATCGTCTCTGACTCTAGTGGTGCTCATCTTTGTTTCTTAGCCAAAGGAACCAGCATTGTCCAAAGACACTTTTGTGGTCATGTGACTGTCATGACTACATGCCAAGGAACACAAAACACTTTTACACCCTCCAACCAAAGTGGTACCTATTTATCTACTCACATTTGCATGCATTCAAACTGCTAGGTGGGCACAGCTGGGGCAAGCAATGGGAGCTCACCTCGTTGGGTAGCATTTGGGTCTCAAACCTGGGCTATCAGCTTTCCAGCTGACAATCTGAACATCTTTAACCACCGAGCCACTGCACCCGTTAAGAATCAAGCATTGTATGAACTAATCTGTTTTGGAAAGAGCACTGAAAAGTTTTAGGTCCTTGAAGCCTATTTTTTTTTAAAGAAACCACTTACTTGAATTGGCTCGGCAATAAATGCAGCGACTTTCTTTGAAACACAAGTTTGGAGTGTGTCCTTGAATTGCTCAATATACTGGTCTTTAGCATAGCAGGTTCCTGTATCGGGGGAGATGGGGAGAAACATGTCTATTATTTTAAACTATTATTCATGAAAGAAACATCACGGTCCTGTTTATCATCAAAAATGCCAAAAGGCTTTTCTCCAGTTGGCTCACTGTAGCATGAACTTAACTGTGCTACATACTTTTTCTGGCCAAATCAAATGATGTTCCATTCACTACTGTGTGGTGGCGCAGTGGTTCCTGCTGCCTGCCAGCTGCCTGCAGTTTGACAGCTCGATCCTGACTGGCTCAAAGTTGGTTCAGCCTTCCATCCTTCCAAGGTCGGTAAAAATGAGGACCCAGATTGTTGGGAGCAATAGGCGGACTCTGTAAACCGCTTAGAGAGGGCTGTAAAGCACCGTGAAGCGGTATATAAGTCTAAGTGCAATTGCTATCTAGGTAGGGATTGGGAACAGAGGCAGCAGAAGCAGGAAAGCGACCAATCATAGGGAAAACAAATTTTATCCTAGTGAATTTCTGCTGAATAAGGGTGGATAGACAGCCCAACATTAGGAAGGGATTCTACGATGGAGGGCTAATTAAATACATCCTGACACTCGAGTAATGACTGTAATTGGGTCTGGAATTACAGTTGTTAAGTTGCCTTGATTGTCAAGTGGCTCAGCATGCAACCATATCCGATTTTACAACCTTTGTTGTGGTAGTTGTAAAGTAAATGAGAGGTGATTGTTAAGTGAACACTGCAGTTAAGCAAATCTGTTTGTCTGCAGTGAGCATTTTTTTTTGTTTTTGCCAGAAACTAGAAGTAAATGCTGTTTCAGGCAAAAAAAAAATGTTTTAAATTGTGGTTGTCAGGGCTCCAGTAGGTTACCCACATTTGAATCATGAATCTCTAGCTGGATTTTCAAAGCTCAAAGATTTATTAGGAGAAGACATGCCGGTGCTGCCTGGGTGTAGCCAACTGAGACACATCATTCATTGTCACCCTTGATCATGATTTCCACCCCCTGCCACCTGGGTATACTCATAATTCATATGCTCCAGTGGGACACACCCCTAGCCAAGAGTCATCAATCATACTCTCCAGTTAGAATTTTCTGTGGCAGAACCTTTGGTCGCCTGGAAACTATCTATGAAAACATCCATGGAATGCAGTTTTGGTTTTGCAAGCTGCTACTCTGCTCCCCCCTCCCTTTCTGTTGGCAACTCTAAAAGACCAGAGGAATATTTTATGAGTTGACAGGAGTCACGTGATCGTGGGATCCTGCAAAAAGCCATAAATGTGGAACTGTGAAAATCAAGAGGATTTTCCTTACTAACTAACCTGAGGAACAGGAGCACTTTCGAATTGTTTGCACCGGAGAATCGCGACAGTGGCTTCCTCCCCAGGGACCACGGAAAACGTCAGGCAACATTGTCTAAAGAAACAACAGACCCAATGATGTTCATTGCTCCACCAATGGCATAATTGAGTGTGCTAGATTTTTAAGAAGTACATTAATATAAAAAAGACAGAACTAAAATAACAAAGAGAGATAAAGATGAATCCATACACTGGAGATCTCACCATTTAATCCCTTGTTTATAAACCAAGTTTTCTCGGCATGAAAATCAGAGAGGGCCACCTGGCCAATTTCAACCTTGGTTGGTGTAGACAAATTCAAAACATCCATAAAATCTATCAGAAGTCAAATAAACTATGGAATTTTATTATCTATCATTTCGTTTTATGGATGCTACTGGGCCCAGCAGTATAGTTGGAAATATAATTATGCTTCCACTTGATTCTTACCTTTGTAATATGCTAGATAATTTTCCTTTTTTTCATTTAAGGAATCGAGTGTGTAAAATTAGAGTAGGGAGTTTGGTGGGTGCTAATGACATTATATAGCTCCCAGGTACCACATTGGAGGCACAACTGCTACCCTTAAATGAAAGCATCAAAGTACATAATAAGAATTTTCAAATACTTTTTAAAAGTCTCAAAAGAGTTTTTAAGTTGAATTCGCCCACCACCTATAATCCTGCCTATATCTACTGCTTCTCCTGGGCCCACTCATATATTGCTTCTGACATGCTTCGTGAAAAATAACACTCCCCCCAATGCACAGCATCTTAAAATGTGGATAGTTTATGCAGCTCATCTGATCATGTTGATGGACAATGAAAAGAAGCAGCTGACAATAGTAGCTGCTGCAGTTCATCCCCATTAGAGTTGGAGCCTTTCTACAAAACAACTTGGGATCACAAGATACGATTGACTGGCAAGATGAACAAAAAGGAAGGTCAGACGATGGTATCCCAAGAAGAAGATAAATAAGGGTGCTGAGGCTGATGGAGACCCCACTATTTCATCCAAGTCAAGGACAGAATTCTATTAAAGCACTTTCCTATAGCCCTTTTTTAAAAGGGCAGATTTTGATCGGGCTCATGAATCAACAAAATATTTAGCTCAATTCGGAGGTGGTATTCAGCAGGTTCTGACCAGTTTTGGAGAACCAGTAATGGAAATTTTGAGTAGTTTAGAGAAGCAGCAAATACCGCTTCTGACTGGCCCAGCCCCCCATCTATTCTCTGCCTCCAATCGGCTGGGTCTTCTTTTGTTGCCCTGCACAGGAGAACAGAGCTGGAAAGCAGCTTAGTGAAATGGGGAGGGAATGGAGATTTTGCAGCAACTGAGAGGGAATGGAGATTGTGCAGTATCCTTACCCTGGCACGCCTACCAAGCCACGCCCACAGAACCGGTAGGAAAAAAAAATCGAATCCTACCACTGGCTCAATTCATTTCCAACACAGCTATTTTGCTCCAAGTGGCAATAGGAATAGGCCACCAAGTGACAAGAAGACGCTTGCGTTTAGCATCAACCTGCATAACTCCTTGAAAACTGGACTCTTTTTCCATTCTTCACGATTAAGAAGTAACACCAAAGCAGATAAGGTCCAATACAGATAGTCCTTGACTGACAACAATGTGTTTAGTGACCAAATGTACAATGGCTCTGAAAAAAAGTGCAGTTTGACTGTTTTTCACACTTACAACCATCACATGATCAAAATTTAGAAGCTTGGCAACTGGCTCATATTTATGATGGGTGTAGTGACCCCAAGTCACGAAATCACTTTTTGCAACCTTCCAACGTAAGGTTGTAAAATGGGAGCAAAACTCAGTTAATAATGAACTTGCTTAGCAACAGAAATGTCAGGCTCAATTGTGGTTGTAAGTTGAGAACTATCTGTACCAGCAATACCAACAACCAGTCGGGAATATGTCCAACGTGCTCCAAAAACATGTCCTCCCCCACAAAACAAAGCAAGATACTGACCGAGTGGCAGTTGGCTCCATTGCCAACACCAAATTTGTACCTCCCAATGGCTGTGATGCCCATAGCATAGGTACTACCTCCATGGTATCCGCCTCTGCAGAAAGAAAGGCATCATATTTTCAACTTTAGGGTGGTTAATTTGTCTACTAATCTTTTTATATATTTAGAATCTCAGAAGTTGTGTTAATTGCAAAGAAAAATGACACATTTCTGAAACTCAAAGAACTCTCATTTAGTGGACTATATTTTCATCAAGTTGCCTGCTCTTGGCAGCTCTTCTTTGTTAAAACTTCCTCTCTTCTTGAGACTGTATCCAATGGTTTCCTTCTGTTGGTGGACAGATGCAATTGGCATATCAAATACGTGCCTCCAATTCAATCAAATGTGTTTTAGGAAGGCTAGGGAATCTTTTGGAAGTGGATTAGAATGGGCTTTCAAGAACAACATAAGGAAAGGAAGTTACTATTTCCCAGTAAAAGTTTGTGTTCCTAATAGGGAGTTGTGTTGATTCAATGAAATTTCACAGGATTTGGTCTGTGCATGACAGACACTTTCTGTTTAGACTGTACACCTGTATAGTAGCTTCTTTTTGGATCAGATCATCACCAGCTCTTTTTAAATTTGAGTGGTCTAGAGCAGGAGTTGACAATTCAACACCCATATATGTTGATCCCAGTTTTCCAGATGGTAATATTGCATTATTACAGATGGTAATATTGAAATATTACAATATTTCTCATATTTTTCACAAGAATGCTGATAGGTTATAAGGTTTATGGGTGATATTGCTAAAATTGTACCAGATTTATTGATCTCACATGTTTAGGGGAAGGTCTGGTATGTTGCAGGCCTTTATTCCAACATTGGTCTTAAGAAAATATGAATATCTGAACTGATAAAGCTATTTCATATATTTCCTCATTATTAGCTTTCATTATTAGACTATATATTTTGAATTATCGAGAGGCATGGTGGTTCCATGGCTTAAAGACACCGAAGAAGATCTGTGCTCTGGTGGTTTGAGTCCTAGCACCACGTGATGGGGCGAACTCCCATCACTTGCCTCACCTTCCACCAACCTAGCAGTTTAAAAGCATGTTACATGCAAGAAGATAAATAGTTACCACTTTGGTGGGAAAAATAAGGCACTCCATGCAGAAGTATGAATCCAACTGGTGCCGGACCTGCCCAAATGCAATGCCTGAATGCAAGGTGACATCAGTGGAGGGAAAAAGCCCCATATGACACCAAAGACTACCATTAGCCATTCCAAGTGTGGAACTAGTTCATCCCCTACGGTGCATTTCTGGATAGCGCGGGCAGATGAACTGAACAAACGGCCAGTCTTGGGCAGCCAAGCAACTATTCCAGTGGTGAGATTCAAATAATTTAATAACCAGTTCGCCCAGGGTGAGGTTGGCTGCTGTGGGAGGCATGGCCC